GGCGGATCACAGGTCAAGAGATCGAGACCATCCTGGCCAACACAGTGAAACCCCATCTCTACTAAAATACAAAAATTAGCTGGGTGTGGTGGCGCGCACCTGTAGCCTCAGGTACTTGGGAGGCTGAGGCCGGGGAATTGTTTGAACCCAGGAGGCGGAGGTTGCAGTGAGCCGAGATTGTGCCACTGCACTCCAGCCTGGCACCTGGTGACAGAGCAAAACTCTATCTCAAAAAAAAAAAAAAAGTCTAGGACAGTAATCTTCAAGCTTTCAAAGGGTTTTAACTTCTCAAGAGGATTCTTAAAGCTAAATGTGACACTACTCTGTGTTCTTTAACCCATTCGTGCCCTGTGTATCCCTCCAGGACAGAATGACATAGAAAGACAGAAAGGAGCTGGGCGCGGTGGCTCAAGCCTGTAATCCCAGCACTTTGGGAGGCCGAGGCGGGTGGATCACGAGGTCAAGAGATCGAGACCATCCTGGTCAACATGGTGAAACCCCGTCTCTACTAAAACTACAAAAAATTAGCTGGGCATGGTGGCGCGTGCCTGTAATCCCAGCTACTCAGGAGGCTGAGGCAGGAGAATTGCCTGAACCCAGGAGGCGGAGGTTGCGGTGAGCCGAGATCGCGCCATTGCACTCCAGCCTGGGTAACAAGAGCGAAACTCCGTCTCAAAAAAAAAAAAAAAAAAAAAAAAGAAAGACAGAAAGGACTCGTCACACAAATCTTTTCCTACTAACAAAAACCTTCCAGAGGAGACAAACAGTGACTTCCACCGTTCACCCACCAGGTTTGCACAGCAAAAGAGAGGCCAGAAGCCTGGCTGGTAAGAAATTCTCTCCCTTTGCAGGCGTGCTGGGTTTCCAGGTTCCCTTTCGCTGCAGCTCCTGACTGCAGAAGAACAGGGTGGTTTTTGATGAAACAGCTCCCCTCTTCTGTGCAGCTGCTCACTGCGCCATCGCTGTGGGGCTCAAGGTGCATCACTAAAGAAAGTCATCTTTTCCTGATCAGTGGAACCCAGGCAAAAGCCCCTCCCTTTTGCAACAGGCTATGTGGGGGAAACTGAATTCACATGTCCCATTCCAACCGTAGCAAAATGCATGCACCAAAACCCACTCTGGTCCCCCTGGTCAGCGCTCAGTACTGACTTGGCAAGGCTCCTGTCATCTCTGATTCACTCAAAGTGGGAGGGGATGGCCTCCGGCCAGGAGTTGTAATGGGTCCTCTCTGGGAAAGACAGAAGAACGGACAGCCACACTGCGTTAGGCCTGCTGAGCTTCCTTCTGGGGTCCCTGAACACGGCGGACCAGGAAACGGGGAGAACAGACAAACGGGGAACCACCACTGGCTTCCTCAGGGACCTCCTCTGTGTACATACACACTCACAACAAAGTGAAGACACGCAGAAGGCCCTCAGAGCCAGGACTCTGGACCAGATTTCAAATCCAGAGAGCATTTCTCCAAACAGCACCTCGATTCTGTGCAGCTGAGGAGAAACCGCCTCAAACCAAGGCTCTTGTTTCTACAATCTAGGGAGAGACGGACAGTTCCCATGGCGGGGCCACAAAGCCTCTGAGAGGCCAGCGGATCAGGAGGAGAAAGGGGCTGTTGGCAGCAGCTGGAAAACTCACCCAGACCAGGTGAAAAGACGTCTTCCGGTCTGTCTTCTCCACGGCAACTGGATCTGTGAACCATGGGTGACAGCGCCCTGCTCGTAGAGATGCTGCCAGAGGCAGCTGCAGCCCAAGAGAACTCAGCAGTCGCCTGGAACAGGCTCTGGGTCCATCGCCAGTGGGGGCAGCAAAACCACAGGCAGGAACCACAAGGCCTGTCTCAAGGGACCCCCAAATCTGTAACCGCCCAGTGTGTTCTTTTCGTCCGCTGCCCGGATACAGCTGGTTTACCCAGATGGGAATTTCAGTAGAGAGTTTAATTCATGCAAAGCTGGCTAAAGGACAGACCAGAGTTTTCATCCTGCGCAACGCAGTGAAACCCCGTCTGTACTAAAAATACAAAAATTAGCCAGGCACGGCGGTGGCACATGCCTGTAAACCCAGCTACTCACGGGGCTGAGGCAGAATTGCTTGAACCTGAGAGGCAGAGGTTGAGGTGAGCCGAGACCGTGCTGCTACACTCCAGCCTGGGCAACAGAGCAAGACTCTGTCTAAACAAGCAAGCAAGCAAAAACCACAGCAGTGAGAACAGCACGCGCCGGAGCAATTTAACCATTGCAGTGCTGGCCAGCTGAGGAGAACAGGGAGGAATGTTTTAAGCCTGTGGTGTCGGTCTGTTAGCACACTGCCGTGAAGAAATACTCGAGACTGAGTCATTTATAAAGGACAGAGTTTCAACGGACTCACAGTTCTGCATTGTTGGGAAGGCCTCAGAAAACTTATAATCGTGGTGGAAAGCAAAAGAGAAGCAGGCACCTCTTCACAGGGCAGCAGAGTGGGCTGAGTGCCAGCAGAGGCAATGCCAGACGCTTTGAAAACCAGCAGGACTCCTGAGACCCAATTACCTCCATGTGGTCCTGCCCTTGACACCTGGGGGTTATGGGGATTACAATTCAAGCAGAGATTTGGGTGGGGTCACACAACCAAACTGTGTCACCCATCTTCCCAAGAATTCAGAGCCTAGGCTTTTTAAGGGTGCTGTGGCAGGCAGGGGGTCAGCGCGGCCAGCGTTGATCGCTGGAGATGAAGTCATGGGGCATCCAAATCTGTCTTCATGCAGCTGACTCCGCTTTTGGGTTGGGGTGGGTGGGGTTGCTCTCAGGACGGTGGCTCTTCCTGGTCTACTGAAACGCTAAATCTGAAGATATCTCACAGCCGGTGGTTTTGCATTCATAAGAGTGATGTTACCTACAGGAGTCGTTGGGAGGCTTATAACCCTTGTGATCCTGGTTACATGGCTCTGGGGAAGCAATTTATGGAAAAACAAACTAAGCAGGCCAGGCGCGGTGGCTCACGCCTGTAATCCCAGCACTTTGGGAGGCTGAGGCGGGTGGCTCACGAGGTCAAGAGATCGAGACCATCCTGGCCAACATGGTGAAACCCCGTCTCTACTAAAAAATACAAAAATTAGCTGGGTGTGGTGACACGCGCCTGTAATCCCAGCTACTCAGGAGGCTGAGGCAGGAGAATCGCTTGAACCTGGGAGGCAGAGGTTGCAGTGAGCTGAGATTGCGCCATTGCACTCCAGCCTGACTCCTGGCGACACAGCAAGACTCTGTCTCAAAAAAAAAAAAAGAAAAACAAACTAAGCAGTGGTAGCAAAGTTGAAGTCTTAACCTTGTCTGATGAATGCAGCCTCCATCTACAAACAGGGAGAGGGGTCACGTTTTCTTTTTCTTTTTTTTTTAAGACGGGTTTTCACCATGTTGGTGAGGCTGGTCTTGAACTCCCAACCTCAGGTGATCCGCCCGCCTTGGCCTCCAAAGTGCTTGGCTTACAGGCGTGAGCCACCCACATGAGGGATGTGGAGAAGCGGGCCAGGCTCAGGAGCTCAGCTTCGGGTGTGTGGGGTTGGAGGTGCAAGCCAGGCTGCATCCAGGTAACCTCCCAGGAAACACGCCCCAGAGTTCACGCCTCAGTGAGTGCGCTTTCTTCCCGGCTTACATCTGGGCTGGTTCCAGGACTTGCCTGAACCCACCGAGTGTACCACAGTAATGCCAAGCCCGTTACTGACTTGGGCCCGGAGCTGTTTTTTTTTAATACGGGGTTTCACCATGTTGGTCAGGCTGGTCTTGAACTCCCGACCTCAGGTGATCCGCCCGCCTTGGCCTCCAAACTGCTTGGATTTCAGGCGTGAGCCACCATGCCCGGCCAGACTGGGCCCGGAGCTCTTAAGAGCCAGCACCAACTAAGACACGGACTCAGCCCCCCACCTCCATGCAAGGGGAAGGCCAGCCGTGCGAAGCAGCCCGTGGGGAATGGCAGGGCCCAGCAGAGCCTGCAAATGCTCACCCCAAGAGTGAGGTGTCAGACCTTGTGGTTGGCCTGCCCTCCACCCCTTTGTGGGAAGCGGAATGATCTCGCTAACACACCGGGTCAAAAGAAGTGTCCCTTTGCTGTTTCAGGTAAGTCTGGGGTGGTTTGTTACACAGCAACCGGCAGAGGAGACGGATCTCCAGCCCCATCCACGCTGGGGGTGTCAGGGCCAGAACTGGAGACTGTGGCCCTTAGTCCTCTGATCTGAAGCTGGGGCCTTCGGTGCCCTCAGCCTCTCTTCTTCTGCGCCCACGGCCACATTAAAGGGTGACTCAAGAAGAAGAGGCTGCTCTCAGGGTACGGCTGAACAGAGCCAGGGGAACTGAGGCTGCTGATACCCCTTGGCTCCAAGGGGCAGGGAGGCAGCGTGGAGGGCTCAGCACATCAGCCTCTCTGGGCCCCAGGCTCTTTCCCTGTAGGGAGACGTGGGGCAGCAGCTGAGCTCCTCGGGCCACACCCTCCAGGGGCCTGTGTGGACCAGGTATCGTGCACCCCGGGAAGTGGCTTCAGGGGTACATGGAGCAGTGCATCCCTCTGGCAGCCCAGGCCTGGGTCCTGTGGCCACACCCGACACACGGTCTTCAGGGAGTGCTCGGGGCCCCTTCCCTACCTCCCTGGTTCTTATCTGAGGCTTCGGTCTGACGTCAGTTTCCACCCCCACAGGGACCACCTGCCCCAACTTTCAGCACACAGACAGGTGGGAGAAGTTTCCAGAAGTCAAGCCACTCTGAGGGACCAGGGAGTGAGTGCATGATTGTTTCTAAGTCACAGAAGGGCTGCACCTCGGGGTCTGGATGAGGATTTATCTAGGCAGGCACTGCCCATTTCTTCTCCCGGGTCCCTCCTTCCAGGAGATCCCCATGGGCTGTGCCTTGAGACACCCTCCAGCCCCAAGCACAGGCCCCACTCAGCCGCCAGCCTGTGAGAGAATGGGCTCCAGCCTGTCCACACAGGCCTCCCTGCCAGCCCTCCACCCACTGGACACCACTTTCCGGAACAAAAGGCAAGCATATCTGACAGCAATAGATTTATTAAGTATCCCCAAAAATATAAACGCAAACCAGTAAAAAACAAAACCATAAAACATCAGGCCAGGAGCTGCAATAAGACAGAGACAGGAGCAGCACGCAGGTGGCCTGGGTGGGGAAGATGAGGCCGTAAATACTGCAGGAGGCGCGCAGGAGCCCGAGGGTGGGGGGTAGCAGGGGACGGTGGTGGCAGCAAGATGGCTCTGGGGGTCAGGCACTGCTGGCCTTGGCCCAGGCCGCCGCCTGCCCCTCACGCCAGCCGCAAGCAGCTTCACTTCGGGCCCTGGGCCTCCGACTCCTCGTCCTCGTCTTCGTACATCTCGCCCTCCTCCTCGGCCGTGGCGTCCTGGTACTGCTGGTACTCGGACACCAGGTCGTTCATGTTGCTCTCGGCCTCGGTGAACTCCATCTCGTCCATGCCCTCGCCCGTGTACCAGTGCAGGAAGGCCTTGCGCCGGAACATGGCCGTGAACTGCTCGGAGATGCGCTTGAACAGCTCCTGGATGGCGGTGCTGTTGCCGATGAAGGTGGAGGACATCTTGAGGCCGCGGGGTGGGATGTCGCACACGGCCACCTTCACGTTGTTGGGGATCCACTCCACGAAGTAGCTGCTGTTCTTGCTCTGGATGGCCAGCATCTGCTCGTCCACCTCCTTCATGGACATGCGGCCCCGGAACACAGTGGCCACGGTCAGGTAGCGGCCGTGGCGTGGGTCACAGGCGGCCATCATGTTCTTGGCGTCAAACATCTGCTGGGTGAGCTCGGGCACGGTCAGGGCCCGGTACTGCTGGCTGCCCCGGGCCGTGAGGGGCGCAAAGCCGGGCATGAAGAAGTGCAGGCGGGGGAAGGGCACCATGTTCACCGCCAGCTTGCGCAGGTCGGCGTTGAGCTGGCCTGGGAAGCGCAGTGAGGTGGTCACCCCGCTCATGGTGGCCGACACCAGGTGGTTGAGGTCCCCGTAGGTGGGCGTGGCCAGCTTGAGGGTGCGGAAGCAGATGTCGTAGAGCGCCTCGTTGTCGATGCAGTAGGTCTCATCTGTGTTCTCCACCAGCTGGTGGATGGACAGCGTGGCGTTGTAGGGCTCCACCACCGTGTCAGACACTTTGGGCGAGGGCACCACGCTGAAGGTGTTCATGATGCGGTCAGGGTACTCCTCACGCACCTTGCTGATGAGCAGCGTGCCCATCCCGGACCCCGTGCCGCCCCCCAGCGAGTGGGTCAGCTGGAAGCCCTGCAGACAGTCGCAGTTTTCACACTCCTTCCTCACGACGTCCAGGACCGAATCCACCAGCTCCGCGCCCTCCGTGTAGTGGCCCTTGGCCCAGTTGTTGCCGGCCCCACTCTGACCTATGCAGGGAGAAGAGGGGTAGCAGACAGGGTCAGGGGCTCTGCAGTCCAGACTCCAGCCCCATGCCCGTTCTCTCTTCTGTAAAGGAGGCCCCACTCAGCACCCCTCTCATACCCACCACGGCTTCCCTGAGCCAGTGGTGCTCAGTGCTCAGGACGGGGGCTCTGGACAAGGATTTGAGAACTCGGGGTCACCCCAGAATCCCTGCACTGGGGGCTGGATGCAAGTTGGCATCTATCAGTTGGATGTGCTGGGGTCTGGGGGGCACAAGTCAGCGAGGCCCTGCTGTTTCTGTGGCACATCCAGGGCCCTGCCCCGGGGCACAGGCATGAGAACGTCCTGACCGGTGGGCGGCAGCACGGCCCCATGCTCGTGGACCCTGGAGGTCCCGTTCTGTCTCAGCAGCTCTCCAGCAATTGTCAGCTTCTGT